TATCACTTTTCCTACTTGGTGTTTTAGGAAGAGAGTATGACCCTAATTGCTTTGTTGAGCGTCGTATTTTCTCATAGCCGAACTAAATTGACCAAACCATGCTCGAGGTGATTGGTTTAATCCGTATAGAGCTCGATACAACTTGCATACAATCTTTGCCTTTGAAGATGCAGTGTGTCCTGGTGGAATATCTATGTAAACTTCCTCTTCGACATCACCATGGAGGAAGATGTTCTTTACACCAAACTGGTGCAACGACCAATCTAAATTTGCTGCAAGAGATAACAAAACTCGAACAATGTTTAGTTTGGCTACAGGTGAGAAAGTTTCATGATAATCGATGTCATATGTCTGCATATGTCACTTTGCCACAAGTCTTGCTTGTATCGATCGATGGATCCATTTGTCTTGTATTTAATGGAGAAAATCCACTTGCACCCCACTGTCTTCTTTCCTTCAGGTAGAGCGGCCAACATCCATGTTTTATTTTTCTTCAAAGCCTCAAGTTCCTCATTTATAGCTTGGGCCCAATTTGGATCTGATAAAGCTTCTTCAATACCATTGGGGATATGACACGAGAATAGCATGTGAGCAAAAGCTTTGGGAGGTTCAGATAATCTTTGAGTGGACACATAGTTGGCAATCGAATACTTGGATCTTCTTTTGTCCACATCCGGAGAGTATCAATTTAATGGCTTGCCACAATTTTGTCTGAAAGGTAACACGTAACTCACAGATGTATTCAAAGCAATAGTATGTGAAGGTGTAGTAGGAGAGCTTACCTCAGGAATATTCTCAGGAGTAAGGTCTTCGGGTACTGAGGATTAGTGGGATTCATCTTCAAATGCCAATGAAATATGTTCAACTCTTGGAGTTCTTGGAGACATATCAACTCCTAAAGAAGTTTCAACATTGTGTTCTATCACTTCGTTTCCATCATTCGGTTGGGATGGGTTTGAGTTACCTACAAATCTCGTCCTGTTATCTTCAAATTTCGACCCTTTTGACTCTTCAACACTCCACCAATTCTGCTCTTCATCTCGAACTCCCCTTGAGGAGGAGAATTGGATGTTAATGATGGAAAAAAAGTTTCGGACTCTAGAAAAGTAACATCCATAGTGATGTAAGCACGTTTGGTGATAGGGTCGTAGCACCAGTAGCCCTTCTTATGTAAGGCATAACCCAAAATAGATAGCAGACTGCACACAGATCCAACTTTAGTACGTTGATTCTTATGAAGGTGAACGAAGGCAACACAACTAAAGATTTGGGGAGGAACCATCAAAACGGTAGGCAAGGGAACATGGTCAGAAAGAACCTATAAGGGAGTCTTAAAATTTAAGACTTTTGTAAGCATACGATTTAGTAAGTACATGGCAGTGGCAACTGCATCGTCCCAGCGGCGACTAGGCAAATGTGCCCCGATCAACAAGGCTCGTGCAGTTTCTAAGATATGTCGATTTTTCTCTTTCGACAATGCTATTTTTTTGTGGAGTCTGAAAACATGAGATTTCATGGAGAAGACCATGATTCTGGAAGTATGTTTGAAATTGCTGGTTTATGTATTCTCTTCCATTGTCAGAACGGAGGATTTGAATCTTGGCTGAAAATTATATCTAAAGTCTGCACCATGATATGGAATGATTGAAAAACACTAAAAACTTCATCTTTGTGTTTCAACAAATAAAGCCATGCCATTTGAGTGCAATCATTGACAAATATCACTACCCGACGATAACCAAACAAAGTAGTAACAGGGGAAGGTCCCCCCACACATCAGAATGTATTAAAGCAAGGGGAATTGCACTTTTGGCTAAAATGCAAGTATCACAAGTAAAGTTTGAGTGCTTTAAATTGAAAAAAAGGTCTGGAAATAAGTGCCTTAAATAACCAAATGATGGATGTCTCAAGCGTTGATGTAATAGCCAAATATGCCTCTCCTTGCTACTGACCGTGTGATGTTTGTGATTGCCTCTCCTTGCTACTGAAGTCATTCATGTGGTGTAACCCCCCTCTTAGTACCACGCCTAATGATCTCTTTGGTGAGAATATCTTGAAGAAGACAAAAGGTAGGATATATTAGTACCACACAATCGAGATCCGCAGTAACTTGGCTCACAGACATTAGTAAAGTATGAAATAACAAGAGAGAAGGGGATAAGGTCACAGTTCCAACCCCTGTAACCGGATATGTGACTCCATTATCATTAGCAATACAACTTCGTCTTGGTGGAGTAATATGAGAGAAATCATTGGAATCAAACAACATGTAATCAATAGCCCCAGAGTCGATAATCCAGACACCATAATCACAGTGATTAGGGCTAAGGAACGCCTGACCAAAGTTACCTTAATCGTTGAGAGCAGTAGAATCATTTCGGTATTCTTCTTGGGAGATGAGAGATAACTAGGGTTCAGCAGTAATCATGGCAGCTCTACTCGTGCCTTCATCAATGGTTGTAGTCTCACATTTTTCCGTGCTTGAAGTTCATTCCACCAGTCTGGGCACCCATGTAACTTAAAACAAGTTTCACGGGTATGTTTGGTGTTGCCACAGTGAGTGCATTTTCCACTATCAGATTGACCAATTTTAGACTTGGAGGTTAGGCATTGCTCAGAGACAATGACCCCCATTTTTTACTTTATTTGATTGGTTTATCTTGATTCCTTTAGAAGCCATAGTAGCGCCAGGAATGGAATCCACACCTAAGGTCATCACGGCCTACCGAACATCTTCACGTCAAACATGAACATAGGCCTGCTCAACTGTAAGGAATGGTTTCAGCAGTAGCACATCACTCCGAATCTTGTCCAGTCGATCATTCAATCCATCAGGAAAGATATGAACTCTATCTTCCTGTAGACTTTATTTATATTTTTGGATATCATCAGGGCAAGCCATAGGATTGGGATGACAAAATTTGATTTCTCGCCATAATCCTTGAAGGTCGTTGTAGTATTTTTCAATGGATCCGCTGGCTTGTCTCATGCAAGTCACATGACGTCGGAGATCATAAACTTGAGAAGATCAGTCCTATCAAAATAAGTTGTAGTAGCAAAATCTCATACCTGTTTTGCAATTGGGAAGCAAATGACGTTTTCAATCAAAGACGAATCCATCGAGTTGATCAGCCATCCTTTGACAATGACGTTCTCGATTCACCATCTCCAAAAATATGGATCATTTTGTGGTGTTGCACCATCTCAGATGAATCCACCATGTATTCCACGAGGTTTGGGATGTTTCTTGGTCAAGGGGTGGGTATAGCAAAGTTTTTTGAACCACGCTCTGATACCATGTTAACAAGAAGTTTTTTAATTTTATTATATATTCCTCTTTAGAACTGAGTGCAATGATACATAGATACAGGGAGAAAGTTTCAGAATCTATTCAAAGCTATACATAGTCTAAGGCTAGAATTATGGTTGATCCGTACTAAGGGATTTTACAAATAAACTGGTTCTTATAATTGCTCCATTGTAATAGCAACCTTTCCCTGTAATTTCCCCATTCTAACAGCTCACGCCAACAATTATCATACTATTGAACACTTGTTTGCAAATCATTTTGAAAATTATAACAAGTAAATCTAAAAAAAATGATATTAAGTGCAGTCAGATTTTATAGTCATCATAAGTGTTTATCAACTTAAGTGAAATGTCTTCAGTTCGAACTAAGAATTAATCTCATCCAAATATTAATAAAATTGTTTGTCGTTTGTCTACGCACAAGACTTCTTATAAAAATAAGAGAATTATGTAATAAATCTGACATTTTACTCAAAACATAGATATTATTCGTGAATTTGTAAAGTAATTCAAGAAATATTTAAAATGAGTCTATAAATATGAAAACAACTGCTTTATTTGAATTTTTAAAAATCTATAGAAAAAGTTGGAAAACTCGTCTTAGATTTCTATGAAAAAAAATATGGAAAAGATTTTTCTTTGCAAAAAAATAAATTAATATTTTTTTATTACAATAAAAGATGGGTTAATTATATTAGAGGTCCCCAAATTATAAAGTATCTGATTTTAGTCCTTAACATTTCAATTGTACCATTTGGGTCCATAAAATATTAGTCCATCAAACAAATCCAAATTACTAACCCTTTTTTTATTATAAATTTATTACGTGATACCTAAATATGAACACAAAAAAAAATTGGGTAACTCTTAACTAAAATTTGGGTAACTCTTGACTAAAATTTAGATAACTCATTATCAAAACTATATAATTTGGGTAGCTCTTTGATTAAAATTTGGGTAAAAATTTTATTAAGATTTATCTAAATTATTTTTTTACTCATATTTAAATATTACGTGACAAGTTTATAATAAAAAAACGTTAACAATCTGGACATTGTTTATTTGAAAGACCACATAAAAATATAATTAATACTTTAAGAATTAAAATGAAACAATTGAAATATCTACAATATGAAATACGCAAGATTCAATAAGTTCATTTGATAATTCCAAATAGATTCATTCAACGGCTACTAACATCTCTTTAAAAATTATTCACATTAAATTTTTCTTTCTCTAGTCCATTAATTTTTATTTAGTAAATCTTCGAGCATGGATTACTTAGGTTGAGGACAACATGAGGCAAGCTCATTGGCAAATACTCACTCCGTTCCTAAATATCTGTCGTTTTATTCAATTTTTTTTGTTTCACAATATCTGTTGTTTTATGAAATCAAAGCATAGTTAATATTTTTTCTTCTAAATTTAACCTTAACATTTCAATGCATTAGATTAGGTGGAGATTAAGTGTCTTTCATATTCCTTTCCTTCCCAATACGTATTGAATAAGAGTATTTTAGTTTTGTGTAATTATTTTTACTTATATTAGAGCTACTTAATAACTTCTTTAATTCATATCTGAAAACCTCAAACGACATTCGGGAAGAATTAACCCTAAAAGAAATTAATCGAAGGGTTAAGTTGGAATCCTCATAGTACTTATAACCTTTTACTGCACTTTCCACTTTCACACAAAACCTAAGCTACGCACAGAGTGACGAACACAGCAACCAAATAGCTAGCCGCAGAAGGTAAACGAGCGAATTTTCTGAATCAATCCAGAGGTAACCATTTCGTTATCTCATTTTATCCTCTAGGGTTCTATTTCCGTAGTCTTCACATCTCTAAATCGTTGAGTACTTTCTGATTTAGGGCTTTTGAACTTTTTTCGTGGTAGATTTCTACGCAATCATGGCTGAAGAAGAAAATCAAAACGAAGTGAAGGATGAGGCTTCTGATGTGAGTTTAATTCAGTTATTTTTTCTTTCTTTCATTTTGGTATTTTCTTTTCACCATTTTAGATGTTGTGGGCCTGATAAATGGTTTTGTAATTGTGGTAATATATAGAATGTTAGCTGTCCGTAGAACTACTCGTATTATTTGTTTTCATTTAGAATATGGGCTTGGCTGGGATGAGCTTTGCAATGTTTTCAGTGGGAATGGTCTAATACATATGTCCTCTTTACGTTCTGCACCAGTAGGCTATGTGTATAATGCATATTGTATTATTGAGGTTTCCTTAAGACGGTTACATACAATTTCTTGACCGGGCATGACTGAAAACATTATGATAGTGTGGTAGAGATTTGCATAAATTCACTGATATGGAAAATATTTGCATCTTACTTTGTGGAGTTTGAATGATATGTAACTCATACTGCGGCAGCTGAATGGAAAACAGAATTAAGCATTACGAAATTGAAAAAAAACAGTACATATGAACATCATGAGATATGAATTTTAATGTATTGAAACATCTGGTTTGAATAGCACAAAAAGTGATTAGCTTAATGTTCTTGTAGGATCGTAGGTAGTCATTCAACAAGTAACTATGTGAACTATGTGGAAAGGAAACAAAATGAACAACTTGAGACGATTATTGATTTTGAACGCTTAATTGCGTGTTTGATGTTCAGATTGCCGTGGCAAAAAGAGGTTGGAGAATTTTGTCAATTGGATGGTCGACTATTGTATAACAAGTTGTTTTTTTGAATGCACAAGCTGTTTCTAGTAGTAAGCCCAGCAGTGTTTTTTGTTGTGTGCCTATTTGAATAGTTAAAACGCCATGTACTGGTGCACTTTGGTACTACCTACAAACCTTATATCCTCCTTAATTATGTCATAGTGAAATTCTTTAAGACAATTGCCTCAAACCAAACCACACTGTCCTAATCTTGTCAAACTATCCACATCATAATTTACTCATGACTGTAAGTTCCTTAACTCACTGCTTACTTGCATCCCTCCATTTCCCTTTTTTCTTGCATTTCCCTTAATAGGACTGGTTTTGGTTGTTTAACATAAGGTTTGCACTACTTGTCCACCCCTGTTCTTCTTTTTTAGTACATATTTCTTATTATTAATAAAATTTGTTACTTATCAATAAAAATGTATGCCTTTAATGCAGATTTTCATCATAGTTCTTATAAGTTATTGCTTTGCAGATTGCACCATTTGACCCTACAAAAAAGAAGAAAAAGAAGAAGGTCGTAATTCAAGATCTTTCAGATGATTCTGTGGATAATTTGGCTGATAAAACTGAAAGTTTATCAGGTTAGAAGAACTGAGCCTAGATTTTGACTAAGTTGTTTCATCTGCCTTGTTTGTATACCTAGTTGCTTGTTGAGGAATTTATAATTGTGCTGATACGGCTTCACTTCACCATGCAGTTTCTGATGGTCTTGAGACTAGCTTTTCTGGTCTGAAAAAGAAGAAGAAGAAACCAGTTAGTTTTCAAGTCCACTATATACAGGAAGATATCACAACTTTTTTTTTGTTCACAGCAGTTACATGGAACCTTTATTAACTGTTTCAGGCGCATACTGATCTCCTGAATGATGAGAAAGAAAATGAAGGGAATGATTTTGATGGTAAGGAGTATTGTTATACGAACATACTACTAAACAAGTCGATAATTAGAGTCTTGTGCAGTCATAGATATGACATTGTTTGAATGTAATATAAGAATTAATCTTCTGTCAACTCTCTAGATCACATCGGAGAGGATGAGGAAGGAGACGGAATTGTCTTGCAACAGCAGTTTCCATGGGAAGGGAGTGACCGGGATTACAAATACGAGGAGGTATATGTTTGTTTATTTAATTTTGTGCTATAATCATTCTTCAACCTTCTTCCAATAGCCTATAACTCAAGTATACTGCTAGAGTCTTTAAAAGCCTCGAGGTCGTCCTGGTATGTTGTGGAATACTGTTTTGCAAATATATGAATGGGTTGTGCCCCATTCAATGAAATTATTGTTTTTAAAGAAACATTTGTTGATAGTAGATGTCATCCTTGCTCACTCAAGGCAACATAGTTTATGGGTCTTAAGCCTCAGTTCATAGGTCTCTCCAAGGTGGAAACTCAAGAGTGCTAAAGCCACTTCCCTTGTGGTTACTCCATGACGAAAATGCTGCATTTGAGCTTTAAATGGCCTGTACTGGGGATTGGGTATAGGAAGTTTGAAACAAGATTAAAGCTTGGGTATAGGTGAGGTAACTAAGCATTGGGTTCGTCCCCTGGGGCCTGCCTGTGCCAATTTACCAGTTTAGAATGTGATTAGCATTTTCGGTTGGTAATGATTTGGACGAGTTTCAGTAGAGGCTGAGTTTGAGCTTTGTTGAGCTTGACTAGATTTTTTATTCAGGACAATTGCTTGCTTTGGTTTCCTTGATTTAACTTTAATCACATGATTTTCTTTCACCTTTGTATAAAAATAAAAAAGAAGACAAAAGTCAAACTATGAAGGTAAAACCTTGGTTAGTTATGCAATTAGTTCTATTGGGCAATGCACACACGTATGTGGACTATTTTGAGCTCTAGGATGCTTTATATACATATATATATATATATATTTGACCATTTGTTAATGAATCTCAAGACTCTAAAATCATTTACCTAGAAGTTTCATTTTGCTAGAATCTGGAAAATTTTCATAACACTAAAGACATACTAAAAATAATAACATATAACTGAAAACTTTGAAAAACTTTACACGCAAGCTTTGTATAATGGTTTGATAGTGGCTAGATTGCACTTTACCTTTTTATGGATCTAGAGGTAAAAACAGTGAGATAAACAATTTAAGAACCCAAGGTGAAAAAGAGTTACAAATTTGTATGCAATTAATTATGTATGAGATATATATTCTAGAATTTACAAGGAGGGTTAGAATT